CGCGTAGGGTGTGTGGACTCCTTGCTGCTTATTGATAAGGACGGGCTTTCTGCATCCATAAGGGGCTTTTTCCCCTTCTTCTTCTTCTCTCGGGGATCTTATTTTGTGACCAACTGTCGAGGTCGATTGTGTCGATGTACGACATCGGCTTTGGCTCTTCAGAACTGTTGGGCAGAGCAGATCTATTGACTGTTCTGGGTTGTATGCTGATGGAACTCAAGCCTTTAGTAGTTGCTTTAAAGCATCTCCTCGTGGCCTATATATCCCCATGGAGGGTGGCAATAAGCCCCTCTGCAGTGTAGTATCTCATCTTCAGATTCACAGTGGAGGGCACCGCTATCAGTTCAGCCAAGGTGGGCCTCCAGAATATGCACTAATACAATGATGGGAAGTCCACCATGAGGAACTACGTCTTGATCGACCTAGCAGATTCTGCCGCCCTGAATGTGATAGTTATTTGAACATATCCCAAAGGTTTGGTGACAAAGTCGTTGAATCCCTGGAGGTCGGGTCCTACATAAGGGGTCAAGTGAGTATCGTTGAGTTGTAAGGTAGAGAACAAGTGGGAGTACATTATATCAACCAATCTTCCTTGATCGACCAAAATGCGCATGACATCAAAATTGGCCATTCGAGCTTGTATGAGCAGAGGAATAATAGAGTTGCAAGCTCTATTAGGTAGCTCTTCTCGGTAAAATTAAAATGTGATGGGAACAGAGCTTCCTCTGATCTTATAGAGAGTGGCATTCTTGTTAGAAGTAGCGTCCATCAGCCTCCGCTGGATATAACCATTGCTGATGGAAAGGTCTCCCACAACTGTGGGTTATGAAGTACATGGGGACCTCGTCTAGGTCGGGGAAGTAGAAGTCTTTCGGCTGGGTGATACACAAAGCAACGAGCATGAGGCTTTCGTCGGATGATGGCTTTTCCTCTTCGACTTTCTTGGACTCCTGGGCATCCTCGCAGGAACCTTCCTTCTTTTTATATTGCATAAGATGCCCATCTTGGATGAGTATCTCGATGTCATCCTTTAGGTGGATGCAGTCTTCTATATTATGCCCGTGACTTTTATAAAACCAGAAGTACTTGTTTTTGTCTGTCCCTAGTTTGGATGGTGTTTGTCGGGGACAGTGAACCCCAGTTTGTTGGAACTCCGAGTTTGCACATTTGATCAAAATACGCTCGCGCGAAGCGTTGAGGGAGGTGTAGTCGTGCAATTGACCAGCGGGCCCCTTGTAGTCTCTTGAATCACGGGATTTGTCCTCCCTTTTCTTTTCCGCTCCCCGACGGGATGTAGAGAGTTCGTGATTCTTTGAAACTTTTGCATTCTCACGATGACGCGGGTCTCGCGCGTTGTTAGTGACCTCTTTCTCCTCGTACTAGATGTATGCTTATGCTTTGAGCACGAGGGAATAAGCATGGCAAATAAACCCGCCCCCGCCGGGCCCCGGCCGCCCCCGCCCCAAAATTAGCGGGGAAAACCCGGTTTAACCGGAGGCGGGTGCGGGGCCGGGAAAGCCCGATTTTTATTTACGGGTGCGAGTGCGGGGGCGGGTGATGCTAGTACCTACCCTGCACCCGCACCCGCCCTACACCCGCCAACTAAATTTAATTTATTTCATTTATTTTTTAATAGTTTTATTATTCATTTACACTTTTTAATGTTATAATATCATGTTTATTAGAATTATTATTTATTTTTTTTGAAAATATAATTTAAATAAAAATATCAAACATAAAAATGCTTTTAAAATAATTAACTATTTAGTTTAATTATTGATTTTTATTTTTATTGAAAATATATATAAATTTTTAAAAATTAATATTTTATTCGGGCGGGTGTGGGGAAACCCGTTTCTTATTGGGGGCGGGGGTGGGGAAATAAATATTAGCCCCGACCGGGTCTGGGTGGCGGAGGCGGGTCTGGGTCTGGGTGGCGGGTGCGGGTCTGGGTGTGCTTAAACCCTCCCCGACCCGCCCCGTTGCCATCCCTAGGAGGGAATCCAGCATTGTAGGAGTTTCAATGTCAATTGCTTTGGCAAAGTCACTGCTAGGGTGTAAGCTTCGCTCGAGGAGGTATTTCTTCACACCATAAGTCGTGGAGACCTGGACGGCTTCTTGGTTGAACCTTTCAATTTACTCTCGGAGGGACTCATCCTTCCCTTGGATGATGGCCTCTAGTGAGGCTTCTGATTTGGGGTGTCTGCGAGATGCTGTAAAATGTCTGGAAAATTGTCTCCCTAGGTTCTTCCAAGATGTAATGAACTCACCTGGGAGGCTCTTATACCAAGCCATGTCTCCCTTTCTGAGCGTTTTCGGGAAGAGTCAACATTTGATTACTCCTCGACATCCTCTATAGTCGAGCAAGGCATCATTATTATTGATATGCTCGTCTGGATCTGTTGTCCTATCGTACATCTCCAGGTGTGAGGGTTTCTCTAGGCCGACAGAAAGTTGGGTCTCTATAATCTCTAGGGATAACGAGCCATGTGGCTCATCATCGTCGTTACAATCAGGTGATGGTGGCAGAGAGTAGTTATTTTCTCCTCGCTGGAGGCTGCCGTCCCGACGGGGAGAGATACTCATTTGTTGGCACTTTGGCTTGGGTGATGGTGAACGATCGTCATCCGGCTGTTGACTACCCGTCGTCTTCTTGGTGATCAAGGAGCGTTGATCTTTACAGGAAGGAGTGTGACCTTGTTTCTTCAGAAATGAAACCTCTTGCTTCTCGTGCGTGAGACAGAGGCCACACCTTGATGGTGATGGACTGTGGGAGTCGTGTTGTATGTATCTCTAAGGAGGAGATCTTGACTGGCGCTTATTTTCACAAGCTCCGATCTTGTTGCTTTGTTGCAGGATTAGGGCATTGGTTTGGTTGAGGGCTGTGACCAGAACCGCCATGGTCGGGTTGATGTTGGGCGGAATTGGAACTGGCTGGAGGATCGCTGGTGGCTCCTTGGTGTATTTCTTAGACTTCTGATTCTCCAAGAATTGAATGTCATCGTGATCTGTGTCGACCGAGTCGAGGGACGCGGTTCGACCGTCTCTAGTGTCGGGGATATCCTCGAGGTGAGGAGGCTCTTCGTTTCCGTCTGTTTTACAGACAAGGAAAAGGATGGTTTTTCCATAAAGGTGGATGATATCATGATCGACCATGATATGAGTCTATGAATGTCACTTTGATCTTTAATTTCGAGGAAAGAAAGACGGGAAAGATAGAATTCCCACAAACGACGCCATTGATCTTACCGGTAGATTAGAACTTGAAAGTGGGTCGAAGAGATGACGTCTTCTCGATTTGAAATTTGTGGAGAGGAGGGGGTGTACCTGTAAGGCACTTCGACGATCAAGTAAGAATGAGTGCAAAGAGATACAAGAAAAGATATTAGAGTTGTTAGAGTGAATATTGGATACATGGTTCTCACAAGTGTGGGGATTTATATAATGCCCCGGGCGCTTGGCCATTGGTTCCTATATTTGGGCCTGGATATCAGGTTCCCCAAAAATAGGTAAATACCAAGAACTAGCCGTTGTGTCGGCCAGAGGTGCTCGTAACTAGCCGTTATAACGGGCAGAGAAAGTGTCTCACAGGCAAGCATAATTTATGGTCGTTCCTGGGTGGCTATCCCGGTGCAGCAGGGCAGGATGAGGAATAGCATGTATGAGCGGGCATAAGTAGTCGTGGAGGCTCTGATGGCCAAGACTCCTCGAAAGTCGAGCCGAAGGGATAAAATGGCCTTTATCCTTCATGTCTTATTGGGTCAAGGTCATTGGACTGTCCTTCATACAGAAGTAGATTGGGCCATATGTAGCCATTGGACCGGTCTAGAACATATGATTGTATACCATATTATTGTCCTTTAGTGGGTTAGAAATGGTGTTCTAACAACTATAAAAGTCTCGATATGAGCCCCAACAATTCAATCATAACCCTGAAACACGCAATCACCACATATACACAAGTAGGGCCTTGATCATTACACACTGCAAGAAAGATTTACCCCTTCTAATTTAAGAAAGACAATGGAAATATCCCACTCTCCCATCTTCAGATTGATAATATTTGCATTATGTTGACTTGAATTTTTGGAATACCAAGAGATTCAATCTTTAGGGAGTTTTTGAATTTTCTTCCATTTCCATTAGAAAGACTTATATATTTTCAACTGAACACAAATATGTGTATGAAAGAACTTACGCGACAAAGTTGTATTTTTCAAAAAGACAGTCAAGAACCACTTGAACATGTTCTTGATCATCAATTTAGAATCAAACGACGCTTAAGGTCTCCATAATTCTCTAGTTTGCTGAAGATAATCATGATTCAATCATTTTTTCAATTGAAAAATACTTCAAAACTTGACATATATGTTCACATTTCACCATTATTATGTAGTAAAATAGTGACATAAATGCAATGAGCAATGCAAGACCAAGTTGTTCATGTTGTTTCCAAGTATCAAATTCATTACCATCTGTTTAGGCTTCTTTTTCACTATTAGTGAAAATTTATATAGGTTTGCTGCCTTGTTTTTTTGTCCATATATTTATAAATTTTCCCTCAACAAAATTCTTATAGATTAAAATTGAACTATATATTATTTTCAAATTAAAACACAAATTGTCCAGCAACAAGATTATGTTATTATTATTTTTGACTTTGCATGAGATTGTTGAAATTGAAATATAATATAAAAAAATTTCAACCATTAAATACAGGGAAAAATAAAACTCAAATAATAAAAAAGGAGAGGCCATAGTTAAGTTAACTCCACAGACTAAAAAATAAAAAATATTATTTGTTCTCTTTTTTATCAATGGCTACAATTTCTCACTACACTCTTCATCCTCTATCTTCTTCTTCTTCTTCTTCAACCTTGATTCATCTTTCACCATGTTCTTCTACATCTTCTCTCACTCTTCCTCAACCTTCATCTTCATCCAAATTCTTCTTCCCATCCTCCAAATGCAGAAGGAAACCAACCAAACTCAAACACTTCATGATCATTGATCCAATTTTGCTGTTTAATGGCTTTGGTAGCGCTTTCTACTTTGATACTCAAACACTTCTTGCTACTGTTAGTGTTCTGGCTGCCATTGCTCTTTCTCTCTTTCTTGGCCTCAAGGTAACAACAACAACACATTTTACATTTCTTCTATTATAGGTTTTTTTTTTTAGTTTTCATGAAAATGTCTTTTTTGTTTGTTTGTTTGTTAATTCCTCTTTGTTAAATGAAAATTATGCAATAGAAAATAGCAACAATTTTTTCATTATCTTATAGCATTTTTTGAGGTGGTACTTCCAGTGGTTGAGCTTATAGCATAGTATCATTTTTTATCCTCTTAGTTGAAAATTTTAGAAATATTAATTGAGTATCATTTAGCTTATCTATTTTCAGCTATATGTTTATAAGTCTTTTCAATTTGACTAATTCCTTTAAATATTGAGTTTGATTTTGATATACAATGTCATGGATGTAAAATCCCCTGAACGTTTGGGTCCTGAGAGTGTGCTCCTTTTAAGGTTTTAAGTTCTCGATAGGTGCAAACAAATTCTATGTTGGGCTAATCAATACTGAGCTTGCTCTGGCTTTAAATGAGACATCCGCAAGTAGAAGGTGAGATTAGTCCCCTTGAATTAGTCGGTCGCAAGGCCGGATAACGAGCTTTAAAAAAAATATATGACTGTAAAGTTAAGCAAATAGCTTCAGCCTCTAGAATAGAGCACTGTGTTGTTTAAGGGTTCTCAACGATTTATGGAAAGTATTTATTTATACATGATTTTGAAAATCAAAGTGAAACTTTGTTAAATCATTTATTAATGATGTTTTTTTTTTTGGGTTTTCAAATTGCAGTCTGTGCTGCTTCAGTTCTGGATTTCTTTTGGTTTTGATAAAACACATTTTCGGGGTTGTGGGTGCGATTTGAATGAAACTAATAGAATTCACATGCATCACATACATAATTGCATCAATTTTTGCTTTTAGAAGTGTATTTTCCTTGGTAACAATAAGATTGTGGATCAAGGTTGATACTTTCTTTTGGACTTTCAATAATGAGTGATGTGATTTTGCAGGGTGATCCGGTGTCCTGTGAGCGATGTGGTGGAAACGGTAATTTTCTTTCTGCTTTTGGACTTCAAGATTGATGATCATTTTTGTTGTTTCTCTTATGCAAGTTATTATTGCTTTATACTTTGGTAGTGTGAGGAGCATTTTAAAATAGTAACAGTGAGGACATGGCATGTTACTTGTTTAGAAAGATGATTGAGTAAGCATAGTGGGATGAAAGACTTATCGATGATTGCCTTATTTGTAAGCTATTTTGGAGAGTTTATCGAAATAAGTTGGAAACTTATCGGTATGTCACAAGTTGTTTTTGTAAGATTGTTTAAACACTAGTACAAGTGCTTATCTCATGAAGTTAGCTCTTCTAAATGCCCTGCTAAGAGAGTGCTGTGCTTCCTAGTATTCTACTAGTTACCATGTTTTTTTTATATTCCTTATCCCTATATATCTCTACCTTGAAAATGGAGACAGCGATACATTGTATGACAAAGTGCCATTGACTATGACTATGAAGCACCGACACAAACATGACACTGACATTAACATGTAGATACCAATGATAATTTGAGAAAAATATAAGTGATTGAATGGAACCAGTGTGTCGTACTAGTTGCATTGCAGCGCGTGTCTAACACTATCTCACGTCTTGAATCAGAAAAGTCCGTGCTACATAGGTCATTGGAATAAGGAAAGAAAGTGAGATACATGCTATAGTGATAGTTATGATTCACAATTGTATTTTCTATTGCCATTGCACTCTCAATGTTTTCATTCTTCTAGTGAACCTGTTTGTTCCTTAATCAAGAGGAGTCTTAGAGTATGCTTTGTGTATAACTTAAAGAGGCAACTTGTGTTAGTATTGTTGAGTGTCGACAAAAGTTAGGATTTTAAATGCCATTATTGACAAGCAGGTGGAACAAAATGTGTGTTTTGCAACGACGGCAAGATGAAGCAAGAGATGGGGTTGGTTGACTGCAAAGTATGCAAGGGTTCAGGTATCTCTTTTATGTCTTATCACTAACATGCAAAAATTGTTATGATTGCTTTGAATATCTAACAAAGTTGCATTTATTTTGCATTCATGATTTAACTTGAATAATTTGGAGTGTTCTTTTCTCAACCATCTTTAAGAGTATGTTTTTACTTTTGGTCTGAAACTAGTGCTGTCAAATAGAGGCTATAGTATAGGAGAATTTGAATAAATTACTATTGTTTTGTGATATGTTGTTAGTACAAAATGTTGTTAACTTGATGTTATAGCAATGTAGCTTTGCAAAATTGAACTAACTACTACTTTTATCTGGATTGACAACAGTAGTGAAAACAAACAACATATTTCACAGTATATTCTGCTAATACAAGTGCTAATTCACATTTTGTAGGATTGATACTCTGCAAGAAATGTGCAGGTTCTGGTTATTCCAGAAGGTTATGAGCTTTGAATTTTGCTAAATATCTAAAACCTTCTTGTTATGAAATCTGTAAGATATTGTAACTATCTTATTGTTCATAGGTTATATATTTTTTATGAATCTTTTTGATCATATAACTATTGCTTCCCTTCCCTTTGACGTGTCCTTGATAATTGCTATCACTTTATATACTCCTTCCGTTTCAAAATGAGTGTCGTTTTAAAGAAAAAAATTTATTTTAAAATGAATATCATTCTCACTTTTCAATGCAGTAATAATAGTTATTTTTCCAATTGTGTCCTATAATTATTACTCTGCACACTACTTCCAATAAATTAATAAAACTAATTTAATAAAAGTGAAATATCTCATGACAATATGATTGCATTCTTTAATTTGTGTGTAAAAACTTTAAATGACACTTATTTTGAAACGGAGGGAGTAGTATTGAAGCATAAAATGAATATGTTCCAACCTCAAGTACGTCATACAAGCCATCAAATGACATCCTCTTATTTCTTTCACTCCGTTAAGTCACTCCCTCCGTCCTATAATGAATGACACATTTGGAATAAAATAGTGTCTCAAAATGAATGAGTTATTTCAATTTTCAATACACTTTTTCCAATTCAATCCTCTAATTAATTAAACTTTCATCATTTTCAATACATGATTAGGGATACTATAGTAAAAATATTATTCTTTCTCTTACTTTTCTACACATTTCTTAATATGTGTGAAAATGGTAGACTAAGTCACTTATTGCAGGACGAAGAGAGTATAGAACTTTTTCTATTTCAATATGTATTAGTTAAACTTTGGTTATGAGTTGCAATAATTAGTAGTCATTTTAACAGCTTTAATTTTTTTATATATTTTTTCATGCTTTATTATCCTTTTTTTTCTCCTCACATTGAGAGTTTGACCCGATCGACTTTTATACTAAAATAACAATTACAAGATACTTTTTATTTTTGAGTTGCTCTTCACACCCTTAGTGGTGAAGAGCTACCTTTAATTTGGGACGTTTCGGCCAAGAGATACACCTAGATGGATACATCAACTGCTCGACCAAGGCATTGGTCGGTAAGAATTCTCTATTAATTGTAAACAACTGATGATCAAAATGATACTTTCCTTCATCAAGTGACATGAATTTCTCTATAAATAGAGATATTGTGCAAACTGAAAATATATATGAAAATATGTATTTCAAGAGTCTAAAATCATATCTAAGTCATTTCTTTATTTTTCTAGTGCACGAGAATAAATGAGAAAATTTTATTCGGTAAAATATCGTTGATCGATATGCTTAATGTGAATGTGCGATTCATATTAAATTTTCCAAAGTATCCTGAAGGGGATTCGCCGATTAACTCATTTGCATCCAATTTGCCTAAATTGGTGGGGGCGAATCGAATCTAAAGCTTAGTGTAAACACACGCTTTTGAAATTTATTTTGTGCAATTTTCATCATACCATATTCATCTTCTTCTTCATGTTTTGAAGCAAACCCCCATCACAAGATCTAAAAGAATCAATTATAAGTACACTGGAAAATATGTTGAACAACTTGATGGAATCAGGATGAGTCCAAAATATATCTCGAACTTTGACTTCGTCCTCACTCACTATGTACTTAGAAACATAGTGGTCATCATCCTAAAGTTTCAAGAGTTGTTGCATTTTAGATCTTGAACACCTTGTTGTTTCGGGCACGTACAATATATACTTGTTTGATATTTGAAACATTTTAAGATCTTTTCCATTTCAAAGATGCAAATATGTTTTTCGGCACTACCATGTTTAATGTCATGTCCGAAACAAGTTCCTTCTTCTTTGGAATAAAGCGACATATAATGGGATGGCCGACTAGCTTGTCACTTAAGGCATGATTATGTATACCAAAAATCACATTTAATTTTCATGTAACATTTTCCTTAGGGTATCGACGCAACTTAAACAAACACTCACATTTTCTTGATTCGGTGTCATCGGGTTCCTAATCGATGGTTGATACGTGTCACTTCTTTGATTCTTTCGTATCTCATTGTTACAAATGCTTGTCTTTTATCAGAATCATTGTTAAACCTTTCGTTTACAACACCAAACTCCAACTTTTCGGCCTCCATACAGACCCATTGTAGCATATGTTCACGAACAATAAACTCTTGTTTATTTGTAAATTGTTCACGAACACCTACCTTAACAACAACTTGTCTAGCACCCGGTTTAACATTATCCTTCACTTCATCCAGTTTAACATCATCCTTCACTTCGTACGCTTTAACATCCATTCTCATAGTAGCTTTGAGAAACATATTTGGGTGCACCATATCTAATACCAACGATAACAGAAAAACATATTAAATAATCAAAGTATTAGGCGCATTCGGAAATGGATCTCCAGAATAAATGAAATTGAGTCTGAAGGTGCATGTCCATACTCAACGTTCTTTTTTCAACTCAAAAATCAAAATAATGCGAGGAATGAGGGATGCAATGAATGGAATTTACCTTATATTTCAACTTCTTTTTGCTCTCTTTGATGTGATAAAATACAAGAATGATGTTTTGATGTTAAAAAGTCGATTGAGAATGGAAGATTTTTTTTAAGGATGTTGAGAGTGAAACTCCCTTTGATCACGAAGAAGAACATGCAAGATGGTGTTTTATTCAATTTCTTGCTTGACATTTTTGGATATGTATCTCCGGAATCGTCATTGATAAATAAACACCATAAATAAATACAAGAGGTATTACAGGGATACATCTTTAAATACACCCCAAATAATATACAAAGATGTATCTCTGGACAAGGTTCTGAAAAAAATGGAGTGCCTAACTAAAATTAAAAAATTGATGTGATTTTAGATTCGTTCAGAAATATATCTCTAAATATAACAAAAACATTTTCGAATTTTTAGAGGTGTAAAGCGTAATTTTATATCATTTTGGATAAGAAAGTGGTGGATTTGCGTGTCCTTTAGCCAACAATATAATAAAAGTAAGTAGTTTGGTTACCAAACCTTTAGAGTAGTCTAAAAAGAGAAATTTGTTTCCGAAAAAAAAAAGTGCTGCACTGATGTAAAGTATATATAAAAAATAAGACAATATTTTTCTAGGAGTGCAATCGCATGTTCACATCCAACTACCAATTAAGCCAATTGATAATTTAGGTCTTTAATGTGAAAGAGTGTCATGGAGTCATGGTCCAATATTAAATAATCCAGAAATGATTATTTGAGTTAAGGTTTACGATGGCTTATTATTATATAGTAACTAAATGGTAGTATTTATCTTTGACTCAGTGGACCGGATATTGTTACAATATTCCTAGTGGTCTTTTAATATATTATCATTGAATTAGGTGACATGCTTTCTTTTGCTGTAAGCATCTAAAGATTGAATGAATGCATCCACTGTCACTCATATCTTTTTTTTCAACTTTGTCTGCCAGAATTATTTGTCACCTTATATTCCAAACAAGCAGTAATCAATTACTCATAATCAACTCTTCCACTAGCTAAAAAAGATGGACACTAGTGTTGTATGTATTCTCAAGTTAGTTGGAGCAATCTTTGTTGTGGTGTTGAAGTTGTTTGTGAATGGAGCTGTTGGTTGCTTAGAGAATGAGAAACATGCTCTCCTTCAGTTGAAGGCAAGCCTCGTTGGAAACTATGAGACTTCCCTTTTGACTACATGGGATAGTAAGAGTGATGGTTGCTGTGCATGGGAAGGCATTGGTTGTAGCAATCAAACTGGACATGTTGAAAGGCTTGATCTAAATCAAGATCAGTTTGGTCCTTTTCAAGGCGAGATCAATGCGTCCGTGATGGAGTTGCGACATTTAGTTTATTTGAACCTCAGTCATTGTCTAATTTCAAACAGTATTTTTCCAGAATTTTTTGATTCTCTAAGCAACTTGAAATTCCTTGACCTCCAATCCTCGTCTTACTCGACAGAAATTTCAAGTGGTTTTGCTCGTCTTGGAAACTTGCAATATCTTGATCTTTCGAGCAATAGCCTTGAGGGTACAATTCCGCGTCAATTTGGAAGTCTCTTGCATTTACAATACCTTGATCTCAGTTATAATGCCTTAGATGGAACCATTCCTCGTCATCTTGGAAATCTCTCTCGTTTGCAGTACCTTGATCTTTCATATAATGGCCTTGATGGAACCATTCCGCATCAACTTGGAAGCCTTTCAAACTTGCAGGAGCTTCATCTTCAATATAATCAAGGACTCAAAGTTGATGACGAGAATAATCACGTTGGAGGTCAGTGGTTTTCTAATCTCACTCTTTTAACTCATCTTGACTTGAGTGGCATGCCCTATCTCAATTCTTCTCATGTCTGGCTGCAAACGATTGCCAAGCTTCCGAAAATACAAGAACTGAGGCTCTCTGGTTGTGCTCTTTCAGATCTTTATCTTTTCTCTCTATCTCGTTCACGATTGAGCTTTTCTACTTCTCTTTCAATCCTTGATCTTTCACTCAATACCTTCTCATCATCCAAAATATTTGAATGGGTGTTTAATGTCACTTCCAACTTCATCGAGCTTGATCTTTCCTCTAACAACTTCAATGGCACCATTCCATATGACTTTGGCAACATAAACTGCAAATCCCATACTTTGCACTCATTGCATTTTGATTATAACAATTTGAATGAAGATATTTCAACTATTCTTCTAAAATTGTCTGGTTGCGTAAGATACTCGCTGCAAGGTTTTAGTTTACGCCACAACCAAATTACTGGAACATTGCCTAACCTTTCAATATTTCCATCTCTAACAACAATCGACCTTTCATTTAATACGTTAAGTGGCAAGCTTCCCGATGAAATTCCAAAATCATTGGAGTCTTTGATATTTGAATCAAATTCTTTAGAAGGTGGAGTTCCAAAATCATTTGGAAACCTATGTTCATTAAAGTTGCTAGATTTGTCAAGTAACAAGTTGAGTGAAGATCTTACGCAGATACTTCATAATTTATCGGTTGGGTGTGCAAAGTACTCGTTGCAAGAATTAAATCTAGGTAGCAACCAAATTATTGGCACGGTGCCTGACTTGTCCGGGTTGTCAGCTCTCAAAAACTTGTATCTATCTAACAATCTATTACATGGCAAGATAGTGCAAAAGTCTCCATTCCCTTACCAATTAGAAGTCCTGAATTTGGATTCTAATAACTTTGAAGGTGTGATCAGCGACTCTCATTTCCGAAACATGTCCTTGTTAACAAATTTAAACTTGAATGGAAATTCATTGTCACTTATATTCAGTGAAAATTGGATAGCGCCTTTTCACCTATCTTCCTTAAGGTTACGTTCTTGTGTTCTAGGGTCGAGTTTTCCAAAATGGTTGCAGAGTCAAAAACATCTTTATGATTTGGAGATTTCTAATGCAAAAATCTCAGATGTAGTTCCCGTGTGGTTTTGGACTCAAGCAAAAAATTTAGTCTTCATGAATATTTCTCACAACAATTTAACTGGCACAATTCCAAATTTGTCCATAACATTTTCAAAAGATTGTACACTAATTCTGGATTCAAATCAATTTGAAGGTCCAATCCCTCCATTTTTTGGTAGTGCAACTTTTCTACGGTTGTCTAAGAACAAATTTTCAGAAACTACCTCGTTTTTATGTACTAACACTACGGTTTATAGATTGTTCTTGTTGGATCTATCAAAGAATCAATTATCAAGGCAACTACCTAATTGCTGGGATAATTTGAGCGCATTGCAATTTCTAGATTTGAGTGACAACACTTTGTCCGGTGAAGTGCCATCCTCGATGGGATCATTACTTGAACTTAAGGTATTGATATTGCGTAACAATACCTTCACAGGAAAGTTACCCGTCTCGTTGAAAAATTGCATTGAACTGATCATGCTTGATGTTGGAAATAATAGATTCTCAGGACCAATACCGAATTGGTTAGGACAGCAATTGCAAATGTTAAGTTTACGAAAGAACCAATTCTATGGAAGTCTTCCTCGGAGTCTTTGTTACTTAACAAACATTCAGTTGTTGGATCTCTCAGAAAACAATCTATCAGGACGAATTTTCAAATGCATGAATAATTTTTCTGCAATGTCTCAAGATGTTTTATCAGCTATTTCCACAGAATCCGTTTTATATTACACAGTTACCTATAGAGAGAACTTTGAAGGCTTTGATATTATTGCATTGTTGATGTGGAAAGGCACAGAACAACAATTCAAGAATAATAAGCTCATTTTGAGGAGTATTGATCTTTCAAGCAATCAATTGATTGGAGAGATTCCAAAAGAAATAGAAAACTTGATAGAATTAGTCTCGTTGAATTTATCAAGCAACCATTTGACCGGAAAAATCACTTCAGAGATTGGAAGATTAACATCACTTGAATTTCTTGACTTGTCGAGAAACCATTTATTTGGCCCAATTCCTTCTTCTCTAGCTCAAATTGATCGTCTGTCCTTGTTAAATCTGTCTAATAACAATCTGTCTGGAAGAATTCCAATAGGCACGCAGTTACAAAGTTTTGTTGCGTCAAGTTATGAAGGGAATGCTGATCTTTGTGGGAAGCCACTTGATAAAAAATGTCCGGGAGATGAAGAAGCCGCACACGAGAAACCAGAAACAATTGAAGAAAGTAGTCCAGAAGATAAAAAATCAATTTATTTGAGTGTGGGATTGGGATTTATCACAGGATTTTGGGCACTGTGGGGATCTTTGTTTCTCATCAGGACTTGGAGACATAAATATATCTTGTTCTTGAATAATATAGTTGACAGAATTACGAGTTTATGGCGCTGAATGGAATTAAATTTCGAAGGTGGCTTAGAGGTTTGCAGGTAACCTTTTTCTTTTCCGTCTTTCACTCTAGCTTACGTATTATTTTCAAGTTGCTCAGACATGATTCATTTATTTCTATGATTATAATTTTCACAGGAAAAGTTAGTCTAAGCATCTCCAATAGAATCATATGCAACTTTGTTGAAGAAAAGTAGCAGAATGAGTAACTGCACCAAACATACAAAAATAAAGGGATTCAAATTTTTCTGTCATGTATTAATTATTAACATAACTCATTTCTCATATACTATGCAGTATGATTAATAATGTTATTCTCAAAGAGAAAAAACATATTTTGTAATCCCGTTATTGAGACTGTAATGATGACACTCTTAGTCCTTTCTTAGTTTTTCAATATTGTTTGTATTAAAGTTATTGAGAAAATAATATGATTGTTGTGAATCACCATTTTTTCTCTATGTTTCCTGAGATAAAATGAAGAGTAGAATATTATTATGAAGTATGGAGGTAGTGATGCTGGCCTAGGCATATGGGAAGCTGCGTGTCGGGGCGCTGACACGCCACCCGAAGTGACGTTTTATCCCGTGCAAGGCTTAAAAATAGATATTAGGGTTTCAATTGAAAAGTTTTATATTTGCTCTCTCCTCTCGCTTGCTCTCCCCTCTCGCTTGCTCTCCCCTTTGGTCTCTCTTCTTCCGATTCGCACTCAGCTGCAGTTGTCGCTGTGTCCGCCATTGCAACCTCCATTCAACCCTTAATTAAGTAAGGGTTTTCGCTTTCTCCCTGTGATTAACCATGTTTTTAGTCCTCGCAATACACATGTTTTAGATGAATTTCATGTTCCGGGGAGGTTCTTCCTCATGAAATTCATGCGTTTCCCTGCGAAATTCCCTAGTCATTGTGAAATTCATGAGTTTCACCGCGAGATTCATGTGTTTCCCCGTGAAATTCATGGGTTTCCCCGTGAGATTCATGTGTTTCCCCGCGAAATTCATGAGTTCTCTGTGAGATCCATGAAGACCTTTATTAGATGGGGAGGTATTGTCCACGCGCGGGGTCGTGTCCTCGTGTATCTAGTTGATTTGGTCGTTCCCTTGGCCCAGGAGGGTTAGTCTTGATTTTATTTGAATCGTCGAGTAAGGGTTTGGTCGAGGACTGGGTCCTCATCTCGTGATACACCCTTTCACTTGATTTGTGATGGAAGGGTGGATTTGATTTGACTGTCGAATTCATTGTTTTCCTCGAAGCTACCAAGGAAGTTCAGATAGTCGACTCGGTTACCGACCCCATATTGCATTGGGTCGCCCCTGAACCTCGAAACATAGCTCCGCGTTACGCTGAGTCTTTAGTCGAGGCGTTCACACATGTCGAGGACAGGGCGGATGATCCAGACATCGAGAAGCATTAGAAAGTTGTCAAACCGCCCGGGAGCAAAAGGATATGCCCGTTTTACTCGAGGAGTCGCATCCCTTAGTAAAAATTTGTCTTCAAAGAGCTGGGGCTTCGACTTCCTTTTAGGGATTTCCAGGTTGAGGTTTTTGGGCACCTGTCATTTGCACCCTCTCAGTTGCATGCGAACACAATTGCCTTTATATTGGTGTTCGAGATAGTGGGTCGATACCGTCAGGTCGGCGTCACGATTCCTCTCTTCTTCCGTTGTTTCTGACTTTAGCGATAAACTGTGGACGGGAAACATAGATGGGTTTCTCTGAAACAGTCGAAGAAGAAGCTCTTCAATATGTTCATGGAATCCGTTCGTGATTTTAAGGACATATATTTCCTCGTGAGACCATTGTCGCATGAGGCCTTCGACTAAGCGTTGGAGGAAGCGATCGTGGTCGATGAGAATGGCAACACGTTCTATGACGAAAATGGGGACGTACGGACGAAGTTAGTCTGAAAGTTCCTATTCCACTTGTGTAAGATTCATTTTGATCATGGCCCAAGCTATTACCTCACCTCGGAGGGTTGTATGGACGATGAGGACGGAGAGTCCTACGCAAAACTCTGCAAGTTTGTTGATGACTTTTACCCCACCTAGTGGGTGACGAGAGAGGGGAAATATTTCCTCGATGATGATGGCAAGCCCGTATTTGAGGCTCGCGCAATCAAGGCTAAGGTATTCCTCGAGTGCTCCTAGGTATATGTTCGCATTTAATTTATTGATGTACTAACCCGGGTTTGTTGTTTTCTACAGATAACATGTTGCACTCTTGTGAGCGTTTCTCAAACTGGCGCAGGACACGATGAAAAACAAAAGGATAATGAAAAGACTAGTCTCTTTTCTCCGGTCCAAGCCAAGGATGGCTCCAGTACCTCCTCTATGTCCCCGGGTGTCGACCAGTCTCAACCCACACAAGGGCTTTCGGGCAGAAAGAGAGATCATCCCGAGGGTGATACTCTAGACCAGACGACGGATGATTTTGACGACAGGGATTTCACATTGCCCCCTTGCTTCGATCAGAAGGGGTTCTTTGAAGGGTGTCCCTTAAACGTGTCTGATGGGGAATCTCCAATCATCTGGGGTCTCGATTTGGCGAGCAGGAAGAAGCAACTGTTTGGAAGTGCCGTTGGTACGATGGAGGTTTTGTAGATGGTAGTGGTCCTCACGGACAAGGAGTCTGGCTCCGCTGTTGTGGTGGATAAAATATAGATGGAGAAAATGGCTCTCGAGGACAAAGCGAACAAGCTGAAAATTGTACTAGACAGTTATAAAGAGAATTTTCAGATTCAGGGCGCTGAGCTGAAGAAGAAAAAGAAGGAGGCCGCCAAGTTGTCTAAGGCGAAAGAATCCAAGTTGCTCGAGAAGAAGATTCTCGAGGAAGAGATAGCCGGTTTGTAAGTTGTTGCGGTGCTTGCGAAGGATGAGTCTGACGAGACAAAATCCTTGAAGACTCATGCTGAATTTTTTGCTCGGATTTCGATTCTTGAGTCATATTGTGTGGAGGCAACGACGATGGGCTTCGATACTGCGGTGACCCAGCTCGCGTTGTTGAATCCTTTTTTTTCTATGGTTGGTCCTGCGTGCCTTATTTTTTTGTAATATTTGGATAATGGGCTCTTCCCTACTTTTGATGTAAAGTTTTGGCAATGTCGGCCTTCGTGGTCTGCGCTTTTAAATGTTGTTTGTTTTAATCACTCATATAGTTGTTTGTTGAATGCTTGATTTTCTCATCGCTATGTATGTTTGTGGTGCGTGATTTATTTAAGTAGGGTTTCTTGCTCGACAACGTTGATGCTCGACGGTTTGGGGAACATGCCGAGGAGGCGGAGTCGGTTCTGTGTAAGAACAGGACTAAGACCGCGGTCGGGGCCTTGATCACGTGGCGTGAACTTTCCCATTGCGAGTTGGGTGTTCTGCCTTATCAGTACTGCGACGACGGAGCTCAGTCCAGATATCCCCATCGGGCTATGGCTCTGATCGTCCCATGAGCGAGAGCCCGCCTAATGGTTTATAGTTTGGGAGGTTGTGTTCGTACTTCAACACGCTTCTGTGTCCGAACGTGCCATGTTGCCTGTCGAACAGGGAAGGCTGGTTGTTAGACCTAGACGTGGTCCTGTTTAGGGCTAACTGTAATATTGCTTTAGCTTTTCTGTGTTCCATGGTCGAGCAAGTTGTTCCCCGAAAAATATTTCGATGTAATAGGCCCCGCCTTCTATTTTTTCCTAGAAGCGGTAAGGGCCTTCCCAGTTTGCGACGAGTTTTCTGATTTCTTCGTAGGACTAGACTGTCGACTGGGAACTTGCGTTTTATGAATTTGGCATTGTGACGCAGAGTTATCTTTTGTTTTAATGTGGCCTCACGGAGGGATACCCCTACCCGAATCTCTTCAACCAGGTTGAGCTCTTCTCTTAAGGCTTCTTCGTTCATCTCCTCATTGAGGGGAGCTTTAGTCCGACATGATAGCTCTCTGACTTCCACTGGGATTACTGCCTGGATTCTATAGGCTAGTCGGAAAGGAGTTTCCCCCGTTGTCGAGTGTGGTGTTATTCGGTAGGCCCAAAGTATGTTGTGTAACTCCTCGACCCACCTATTCTTGGCTTCTTCCAATCGTCGTTTTAATCCTTACAGGATCACTCTGTCCGCGGCCTCAGTCTGGCCTTTCGTTTGAGGGTGCTCGACAAAAGTGAAAAGTTTCTCGGTGCCTAGATTGGCAACAAAGTCTCAGAAGTTTTTGTCAGTGAATTGTGTTTCGTTATCGGTGACGGGCGGTTGAGGTACGCCGAACCAGGCGAACACGTTTCTTTTGTAGAAACGCAATATGTTTTGCGTCGTGATTTTGGCGAGGGCTTAGGCCTCTATCCACTTTATGAAATAGTCAATGACGACGATCATGTATTTGTTCTGGTAGGATCCTACGCTGAAAGGGCCAAGGATGTCCATCCCCACAAGGCGAAGGGCCATGGGGAGGATAAAGATTTTAGCTCGTAGGACGGTGCCAAGTGCATGTCTGTGTGGCGTTTGCCCTTGTGCATTTTTGGACGTGCTCATTCGCGTCGTGTTGCATGATGGGCATGTAGTACCCTGTTCGTAGAGCCTTTTGCACTAAGGATCTTGCCTCAGGTGTTGGGAGTTGATTCCTTCGTGAATTTCCTGCAGGATGTGAGGGACACCGGCCTCGTCGACACACTTCAGGAGCGAGATAGAGAACTTTCTTTGATAGATTTTGTCTTCGAGCAAAACGTGGAAGCATGCTCTTTGCTTAGTTACGCTGGCTTCTTTTTAGTCAGAAGGCAGCTTCCCCGTGGTGAGGTAGCGGTACACTGGGGTCATCCAGCAATCGCTATCTCCGATGACGTTTACGTTGAGCTCCATGAATATTTTTTCAATGCTCGGTCGAGAAAGAGTTTCTTGAATAACAGGCTTGTTTCCACCCTTCTTCTTTGTGCTCGCGAGTTTTGAAAGGATATCTTCTCGGGTGTTGTGCTCTCGAGGAACATGATTGACTTTTGTGGAGAGGAACTTATTCATCCTTTCTTTTATGAGAGCTAAGTATTCTATGAGGTTGTCACTTTTGGCTTGGTATTCTCCTCGCACCTGAAAGGCGACGAGCTGAGAATCAGTGAAGATCTTTATTTCCTGCGCACGCAAGTCTTCGGCCAGACGTACCCTGCAAGGAAGGTTTTGTACTCGCCTTGGTTATTTAAAGTAGAGAAGGATAAGACGAGGGAGACCTTGATCAGGATGCCATCC